GTCCAGGGTGTACCCCGCCCCTCGCACAGTGATTGCTGGACATGGGCACCGGCAACCCCCGTGACCCAAAATGGAACAAGCGAGTAAAGAAAATGGATGGATGGATGGATATATGTATATACACACACACACACTTGGGGTATACTTTATATACTTTACATACTATACTTTTAAGCAATGAAGATCTTCAAGTGATTGGGGTGGCACTTGAAGTGGCCAAAGCCACCCTTGGGGCCACCCCTTGACTCCACCACTGCACCTGGTAGTGGATAAAATTCCACTCATCAGGATCAGTCTTCGTGCGCTGCCAAGCAAAATATATAAATAAAACAACATACACCTCTGTTTTCCTCCACAATGTAACTCCTGCCTACTTGAGTATCTTGCAACAAAAAACATTTAGGTTTATTTACATTCTCTGTTCAGTTACAGTTCAGAAAAACACTCTCATCTAAAAACTACGAACATTCACTATTCAAACCTCTCAGCGACGAGGGACATTGGCGTTCTGCTTGTGTTGTGTCCACAGGTGTCCTGGAGTTTGACACAGCAACATGACAAAAAACTGTGTGCCTGGCACAACCGCAGGAAGACCCGCCTCACCCACCAGATGTCTGGGAGTCGAGTGGCAGTCACTGTGGACTACAGCTCGGGGGTCATCACCTTCTCAGAGGTGGGGCCCTCCAACACCCTGGTCCACCTCCACACCTTCTGTACGAGCTTCACCCGCCCGCTGTGCTTGGGCTTTGGCCTGTACAAAGCCGAGCTGAAGAGTCGCATCTCTATAGTGAAAGAGTGAGGAGCCTGGAGAGAACCCTGTCTGGATGGACAAGTTCTTTTCATATTACTGATACTGAGATCAAGTTTGATGTGGTAGTGGCTGGGAGTCATCCCCAACATACACCCTGAGCACTGACAGCTCATTTCTTTGAGCTCCTTGACATAAAAGGTGGCAACAAAATGCCTTTCTTTAAAGAATTAACGTGTTTTGCATTTTACCTTAAACAAAACGATCATTTTGTTCATATTTGTCCCTCAAACATCTAAATCAAATCAAAACCTCCTCCGGTCCAGTCTTTTTCCTCTCTCGCAGCCTGCTTCTAAAACTATTTTTGAAAGTGCACAGTAAACAACATGTTTTCAGCATTTTAAATTTTTTTTCCAAGAAACAATCTGGAGAAATGTTCTTATGGGACGAAAGGTTTTCAAACAAAATGCTATTTTTAAAACGAGCTGATTCCAAAAGTGCTTATGGGTTCACAATAAATAAAGCTCAACGCCACAAACAGAAGCTTTTTGTATTTTTTCAACTAAGTTTAAACGCATGACAGAAAAATTATGTAGCTGGAAAACACAAACTGCCACTCACGTGCTCAGTTTGCTCTTTGGAGCTGCACACACACAATTCTTCTTCTTTCAGCTTTTCCCTCTTCAGGGTCTCCACAGCGAGTCGTCCTCCTCCATCTCACTCTGTCCTCACTCCAACTACCTCCATGTCCTCTCTACCTGCATCCATATAGCTCCTCTTTGTCTTTTTCCTGGCAGCTTCTAACATCCTTCTACCAATTTACCCACTGTCCCTCTTCTGGACATGTCCAAACCACTGTCCCTCCTCTGGACATGTCCAAACCATATCAATGTGTCCTCTTTAACTTTATCTCCCAGTTGTTCAACCTGTGCTGTACCTCTGATGATCTCATTCCTAATCTTATCCATCCTTGTCTCTCCTAAGGAGAACCTCAACATCTTCATTTCTGCCACTTCCAGTTCTTTCTCCTGTCGTTTTGTCCATGTCTCTGTCTCCAGACCACACAACATAACTGGTCTCACTGTGCACACAGTAGCACACCCAGTTATTGTTCTTTATTTCACCTTGAAACTGAGCTGGTAGATGCAGTGAAGAGAAGTAGAAGAAGAAGGGGGCGGGAGGCTGAGGGACACCTGGGGAGATGAACAGAATGAACCACGAATCCTTCAGGTCCGATCAGACCCCTCCACTGCAGCGCTGCCAGTAAACTCACATAAAGGAGACGATTTTCAGCTTTTTACATATTTTGTGTGGACAGAAGGTGAAAACAGATAGTTTCCATCTGCAACAGGTGACTATTTTCGTTTTTCAGTCATTATTATTATTATTATTATTATTATTGTTATTATTATTATTATTATTATTATTATTATTATTATTATTATTATTGTTGTTATTAGATCATCATGTTAGCACACTTGTTTTATGATGAAGAACAATTTTTTCTTCCTGACATTAATCCGTGTCCATCCAAGAATCTGCTGTGGGATTTTAGTTTTTGCTTTTTCCTTAAACTAAAAACAAATAAATGTTTAATTCATACAGTTGATAAACAATGTAATTGTGCGAAGTTGGAAAAAGTGCAGAAAAGCTCTGATTTTTGAGAAAATGCAACAAAAGGAGTGACATTTCTATGTGACGTGTTTGTGTGAAAGTGTGAAAAAGTGTGTGTCAGAGGGAGGTGGTTACATGTAAAAACAGATGGTCACTCAGTGGAGTTGTTCCCCTGATCCATCCCTCCTCCCCCCCTCCTGAGTCCTGCCTCCCCCAGAATCATCTGTTTGTTTTAGCTTCATCACAGCCTCCTCTGCCTCGGTTCAGTCCCTCCTCCAGCTCTGCATCCTGCTGCTCTCATTTGAAGAATTTGTCTTTTTGTGATTGTCGTTCTGGACTGTGTGTTCATGCAGGACGCCGGGACGATTTGGGTCTTTTAAGGAAAACTATTTAAAAAAAAAAAGTGCAAGAAGACTGTGAGCTATAAAAAGCGAACAAATCTGAGCTTCATCTGGACCTTCTCTGCTGCTTCATTTCTTCAACTGTAGCATGTTTATTTATACCTCAAACTACTCAAAGTGACACCTCAGTCCAGCATCATCTAGAACAGGAACTTGACCAAACATCTTGAAGTCATGTACTTCGGGTTGGTCCAGTTCGACCTCCTGACCCTGCTGAGCGTGCTGCTGTTCTGGGGTCCCCTGGAGTCCAGCGGACAGAACGACACAGAGCCCATCATCCTGGAAGGGAAATGTTTGGTGGTATGTGACTCCAGCCCTTCGTCCGAGCCCGGTGGCACAGCTCTGGGCATGTCCGTCCGCTCCGGCTCCGGACGTGTGGCCTTCTCAGCCAGCCGCCAGACGAACCACGAGCCCACAGACATGAGCAACCGCACAATGATCATCTACTTTGATAACGTGAGTACGGAGCTCCAACATGGTATTTTCAACGTACCTTGAAAAAAAATATTGACACATTCCTGTTTTGAGAGAGCTTCAACCAACAGGTTGTAGATCCTGACGGTGTGGGTAAATGAAAACTAGGTAAAGATTGAACCTTTGGACACAAAGTGCAGCCACACTGTGGGTTATGGAGCATATTCAGGGTTGTTTTTAAAAGTAAATGGTCAGAATATGGTTCAATAATTTGAAACTCTGAGGTTTGACTGAGGTTAAAAGAATTACTCCGAGTGACCTTTGAGTATGTATAAATATACAGGATATATACAGTATATATAAAGTCTTCATAAAGGATATATATATATATATATATATATATATATATATATATATATATATACATATACAGTACACAGTATTTATACAGGATATGTGGACAGTACAGACCCTTTCCAAAAAATTAGAATTTCATGGAAAATTTGTTTAATTTCCATTGTTCCATTCAAAAAGTTAATCTTTAATAGATGATAGATTCAGGGCCCACAATTTAAACAAGTTCAAGTATTTATTTGTTTATTTTTACATAATTTGGACTTCCAGCTCATGAAACCCACGAAAACAGGATTTCAAAAAATTAGAATACTGTGAAGAAATCAGCCCAAATGTTGCAGGACATGAATGTTTTAAACTGAGTGTGACACATTAATCATCTACTAACCTCAAAGCATCTGCACAGGTTTCCCCAGGTGTCATTAGATTGCTTCAGTTTGGTTCAGTTGTCTCAGTTTGGTTCAATATGGAGAAGACTGCAGACATAACTGGTCAGAAGACCATCATTGATACCCTCCATAGGATGGGTAAGCCACAAAAGTTCATAGCTAATACAGCTGGCTGTTCACAGAGTGCTGTGTCCAAGCATATCATTGGAAAGTCTAGTGGAAGGGCGAAATGTGGCAGGAGAAGATGCACCAGCAAAAGAGATGATCGTGGGCTTCAGCGGATCATCAAACAGAAAAGATTACAGAATCTGGCAGAGATCCAGAAAGAGTGGAATGAGGCGGGAGTCACAGCTAAAAACCACCACATTCAGACACATCCAGGAGATGGACTACAACTGTTGGGTTCCTCTGTCCTCTTTTCAGATGAAAATAAAGTGTGCCTTTCATGCAGAAATCAAGGTCCAAGGGTTTGGAGGAAGAAGGTGAGGAACAGAACTCGTACTGCTTGAGGTCCAGTGTGAAACATCCACAGTCAGTCATGATGTGGGTGCAATGTCTGGTGCAGGTGTTGGTAAACTCTGCTTTCTTAAATCCAAGGTCACCGCAACAGTCTACCAGAATGTTTTAGAGGACTTCATGATTCCTTCTGCTGAGGATCTGTATGGAGATGCAGATTTCATCTTCTAGCAGGACCTGGTCCCTGCCCATGCCGCCAGAAGCACCAAAACCTGGTTTGATGTCCATGCCACAGTGCTAGACTGGCCAGCCAACTCATCGGACCTAAACCCCATTGAAAAACTATGGAGTATTCTCACGAGGAACATGAGGAGCACCAGACCCAACAACAAAGAAGAGCTGACAGCAAGCATCAAGGAAATCTGGGCTTCCATAACTCCCAGTCAATGCCACAGGCTGATTGCCTCAATGAAACGTCGCATCGAGGCAGTGATTAAGGCAAAGGGATTCCAACCAAGTATTGAAGATTGACATATAGTTTTGAAAGTACTATATTTTGATTGATTTGTTTTGATCCTAATTTCTTTCTTTTTTTCTGCAAAAACTGAAAAGTAGTGTGGACTGATGTCTTTACAGTATTCTAATTTTTTTTTTATCCTGTTTTCGTGGGTTTCATGAGCTGGAAGTCCAAATTATGTAAAAATAAACAAATAAATACTTGAAAATGTTTAAATTGTGGGCCCTGAATCTATCATTTATTAAAGATTAACTTTTTGAATGGAATTATGGAAGTTAAACAACTTTTTC